TTTTTTTTTTTTACTTTTCGCTTTTTTTTTTTTTAATTTTTAATTTTTTTTTTTTTTCACACCTGCAGCACACAAAAGGCAGAGATTGGTAAAACAGGCACAACAAAAAAAATTTAAAAAAAAGAATAAAAAAAAAACCCCAAAATCCCCCCAAAAATACTCACCTGGACGACCCCAAAAAATTCCAAATTCCACCCAAAAACCGGCGGCACAAACACCCAAAAACTCTCCCCAAAATTCGCTTTTTTTGGGATTTTTTTTTACCATTTTTAACCATTTTTTCCTCTTTTTTTTTTCATTTTTACCCATTTTTTCCTCTATTTTTTTACCATTTTTTCCTCTTTTTTTTTACCATTTTCACCCATTTTTTCCTCTTTTTTTTACCATTTTTAACCATTTTTTCCTCTCTTTTTAAACCATTTTTACCTCTTTTTTCTCCATTTTTAACCATTTTTCCCTCTTATTTTCCAACCATTTTTTTCCTCATTTTTTTCCATTTTAAACCGGTTTTATTTCCATTTTTTTTACCATTTTTTCCTCTTTTTTTTCCCCATTTTTAACCATTTTTTCCTTTTTTTTTCTTTCATTTCCAACCATTTTTTAAATAATTTTTTCCTCTTTTTTTCCCATTTTTCCCTCATTTTTTTCCAATCATTTTTAACCATTTTTTCCTTTTTTTTCCCCATTTTAAACCATTTTTTCCTCATTCTTTTTTACCATTTTTTCCTTTTTTTTCCCCCATTTTTTTCCAATCATTTTTAACCATTTTTTCCTTTTTTACCGTTTTTTTTCCTCTTTTTTTTTACCATTTTTAACTATTTTTCCTCTTTTTTTTTTACCATTTCTTCCCCTTTTTTTTTTAATTTTTTCCTCTTTTTTCCCCCCCTTTCCTACAATTTTTAAATTCATTTTTTTACCATTTTTTCACCTTTTTTTCCCCACTTTCTATTTTTTTTACCATTTAACCATTTCTCCCTATTTTTCACCATTTTAAAATTTTTTTTTTTTGCCAATTTTTTCACACTTTTCCCCTCATTTTTTGGGGTTTTTTTTTACCATTTTTGAATTATTTTTTTTACCATTTTTGGCTTTTTTTACCTTTTTTTTTTCACCATTTTCAAGCACCGGGACACCAAACCAAAATTCAATTTTTTTACCTTTTTTTACCTTTTTTTTTAACCTTTTTAACCCTTTTTTACCTTTTTTTTGACCTTTTTTTTACCCATTTTTTACCTTTTTTAACCATTTTTCTCTGCAGTGACCTCAAAACACTTTTTTTTTGTTTTACCATTTTTCCCTTTTTTTTCCCCATTTTTTTCACTTTTTCTTTTCCAACATTTTCCCCCTAAATTCCATTTCTTTCTTCCCATATTTTTTGTATTTTTTTACCCCTAATTTCACCTTTTAAATCACATTTTTTTTCCCTCCAAATTCCACCTTTTTAATTCATTTTTTTCCCCATTTTTTTCCCCAAAATTCCACCTTTTAAATTCCATTTTTTAATATTTTTTTCCCCAAATTTCACCTTTTTAATTCCATTTTTTTCCCTTTTTTTTTTCCTCCATTCCACCTTTTTAATTCCATTTTTTTTTCCCCAAATTCCACCTTTTTAATTTCATTTTAAATCTCATTTTTATCCCCAAATCCTTTTTTTTCCCTTTAAAATTTTCCCCAAAATCCAGGTTTTTTTCCTTAAAATATTTTCCATTTTTCCACTTTTTTTTTTCCCTAAATTCCATTTTTTCCTCTCAATATTTTTCCTTTTTTAACCCTTTATGGACCAGACCTTACAGGTGACCTTGGGAACGATTTTTTCACCTTTTTTTNTTTTTTTTTTTTACTTTTCGCTTTTTTTTTTTTTAATTTTTAATTTTTTTTTTTTTTCACACCTGCAGCACACAAAAGGCAGAGAT